TGTTTGTCTGTCTTTCTACCTACCTACCTGTCTGTCGGCCAGTCCGTTTGCCCACCGGCCAGTCTTGTTAATGTCCAGCCTTTCTGTCTCTCTCTGTCTGTATGTATGTCTGTATGTCTCTCTGTCTATCTCTGTCTGTCCGTCTCTGTTTCATTGTCTGTCTGTCTGACTGTCTTTCTGTCTGTCTCTGTTTGTCTGCTCTCTGTTTGTCTCTCTGTCTGTCTCTGTCTATCTGTCTGTCCTCTCTGTCTCTGTCAGTCTGTGTGTCTTTCTCTGTCTCTGTCTGTCTCTCTATGTCTGTCTGTCTCTGCCTGGCTGTCTCTCTGTCTGTGTCTGTCTGTCCCTGTCTGTCTCATTCTGTCTGTCTGTCTGTCTGTCTGTCTTTCTTTCTGGCCGTATGTCTCTCTGTCTGTCTCTGTCTGTCTGTCTGTCTGTCTCTCTGGCCGTATGTCTCTCTGTCTGTCTCTGTCTGTCTGTCTGTCTCTCTGTCTGTCTTTGTCTGTCTGTCTCTCTCTGTCTGTCTCTCTCTGTCTGTCTCTGTCTGTCTGTCTCTCTCTGTCTGTCTCTTTATGTCTGTCTCTGTCAGTATGTCTGTCTGTTTGTCTCTCTGTCTGTCTGTCTTTCTACCTACCTACCTGTCTGTCGGCCAGTCCGTTTGCCCACCGGCCAGTCTTGTTAATGTCCAGAAAAACTTCTGCCCATTTCTAGTGAGATTATGCGCAATTACATTTACAATTGAGTAGTCAAGCTTTGTAGTGACTGCGTTGAGAAGAATAAAATAGATTAATTCAAAGCTGGTGACAGAAATAGAAACTGGGAAGTGATTATTGCAATAATTAAGATGACCAGGTGACATTAATAGACATTATTCTCTTTCAATCTCTTCTACGCTAACAGTGGCGCTGCTACAAGAAACCTCTCCTGTTTCATCAGTTTCGTATTTGGAAATAAAAAAAAATTTTCATCGCCATCATTGTTATTAAGATCCTCTTGTTCCTCCTCCTCATTCTCCTTCCTCCCCTTCCCCTTCTTCCTCTCACTCCCTCATCCTCCTCCTTTTTCCTCGTCTTCCTCCTTTTTCCTCGTCCTTCCTCCTTCACCTCCTTCTTCCTCCTCTTCCTTCCCTGCTTCTCCTTCCGCTTCTGTTTTTGCTTCTTTTTCTTCTTCTCCTTCTGCTGCTGCTTTTTCTTCTTCGTCTTCTTCTTCTTCTGCTTTTCTTTTTGTTTTTGCTGCTGCTGCTTCTTCTTCTTTTTCTTCTTTTTCTTCTTCTTCTTCTTCTTCTTCTTCTTTTTCTTCTTCTTCTTCTCTTTTTTTTTCTGCTTTTTCTTCTTTCGTCTTCCTTTTTCCTTTTTCTCTTGTACTTTCTTATTATTTCTTCTTTTGTCGTCTTCTTCTTTCTTCTTTTTCTTCTTCTACTTCCCCTTTTTCTTCTTCTTCTTCTGTTGCTGCTGCTATTTTTTTTTTCTTCCTCTTCTTCTAAGTATGTCCCCGTTAGATTTGTATTTGTAGGATTAAGATCTCAAGTATGGGAATAAACATTGGTGTAAATGCCAGAAACCCTGTGCAACTGTAGTCAACAGAACAATTATCTGGGCTTCAAAAAATTAGTACCCAGTAACCTGTATTCCAGTGTGTGTGTGTGGGTTGTGTTCCTCCTGGTTTTACACTCGATGATACTATTACTTGTCAAGCTCTTGATAAAATCTTCCTACTTGTTTTGTTATCTACCTCTGGATCGATTGCCTTCAACTGTTCTCTTTTAGTCTTTGTTCTCTTGTACTCAAAGGAGGTACGACTGACTGACTGACTTTCTACCCCACCAGGTCATCACACAAGCGATAAACACCCGATGACACTATGTGCCACCATGTGAATGAGGATCACCGTGGAGAGGTCCCAGAAACCGAGTTCAGCCATTAGGCCATATTTATGGCCTGTCTATATTGCGGCCCCTGGCAAGAGCCAGAGTAGGGCTTCAAATAACGAAAAATTTCATCCTAAAAAAAAAGACGGGAAGTGATAGATCATGAAGATGTATTCTAAGGAGGTATTATTGTGCAATGAAATTAATTCTTCACACCCATTCTTTACAAAGAAAATAACACAAACATAGACAAGCCTTGCATGTTAAAAGTTAATCGTAGTCAGATACAACGTTAAACACACCACACACATATGTAATTCAGATTGAATCATTTATTCATAACGAATGTTTTTAAAACAATAAACAAATCTGGGCGTGCAATACAATTCGGCTGACACTACACAATCAATTATATTTAACATTAAAATGTGTGTTTGAAAAATCTGGCAGTACGTAGTTTGACCCTGTTCTCTGAATATGGAAGCCAACACATGAGACCATAAGTTAGTTGCGTATCCTTTACAGGACGTTGCAGAACCAACCCAATGTGTTGTTTTTCTAGGCAAATTTACGTCCAGCAGTTTGCCATTGCTTCTGGACGGTTGGCTTTCTTGATAACACTGTCGAAACCAACGCAAAGCCCGTGGCCCGCAGCTGGGATCGAACCCGGCATTACGGCATTACGAAGCGTTCGCATCGACTTAGCCACAGAGCCGACTATATGAGACCATACAGAAATAAAATATTCAATCTGTAGTGATCGGAGTTTCCGCATGGGACTACTCAGAAACAAAACATTCACTCAGATATCACGGGGAATGCAGATGGCACAAAATATAAACCTAACAAAAAGTCATTAATTCAAGTCACTCATTGTAGTCATTAGCACCATGCAAAAATAAAAAGTCTTCTTTCTAATGATTTCATTTGTTCAATGAAGTGGTGGGTATACAACCAGATTACATACAAACAACCCCGTTCTCTAATGGTTGTTTTTATGTGGTGACTGTTGTACAAATTGTATTACGTAAAAACAATACAATAACCAGGCGGAAACTACAATCTTAACTTTTTAATGCAAACACAGACACTTTGTTGGAGCGGATATCTCCATGAGTCACATAGAGCAAGGAACGACACACGGCAATACTTTTAGGCCTGGCAATGCCATCCTGCAAAGTCAGTAGATGCTGTATAAATTCACCTTCTCCAGAGAACATGGACACTCTATTGTTGAAGTGGTCGGCAACGTACAAATTACCTTCTGCATCGCTGGCAACCCCATAGGGGAACTTGAAGCAGCCATCTCTCTGTCCGTAGCTACCAAACTGACTACTGAGCTGCATGTCTTGATCAAATATCTTGATGCAGTGATTGGCTGAATCAGAAATTACATAATTTCCCGTATGCGTAAGGCAAACATAGCGCGGTTGGTTAAATGAATTATGATACGAATTTAAAAAGGAAGATGTTTGTATTTGAGACAGCGGGGAAGAACTTCCTTGTGCGGCTGTGTCCAATGTAGGTGGGGCAAGTTTAGTCAACAATTGGCCTTCGTTGCTAAAAATAAACACGGAGTTGGCTTGCTCGTCTGCAACGATAAACCGCCCGTGACGATCGCACTGTATTCCTGTGTAGGACAGAAGAAAGAGAAAAACAAATATTGTCAGATGCTGGCAGAGCAGGGGATAACGAAATATAATAGAAGTTCACTATGCGCTGCCCATAAATTAATGCTAAAGATCACTGTTGTTTTGCAGCGTCCGTGGCTGAAGCGTTGCGAGTCCGACTCGTAATCCAACGTACCGCGATCGAAACCTACTGAGTGAATGAGAAATTTCAAAGAAATTTGACTGAAAAGCTTAACAGAATGGGGAAGCAGAAAAACGACCACAAAACAACACGACGTAACGACCGGGCGGCCTTTTTCAAACATAAGTGAACTACACAAACGTTAACAACAAGGAGATGAGTGAATGAGATTAGGGTGTTTTCCTCAAATACGTTGGAATATTAATGTAGGCAGAAGAGGAGAACGATGACGATGACAAAGAAGGGGAAAAAGAAAGAAAGGGAAAAAGGAAAGAAGAAGGGGCCCACATGTAGTTAGTAGTAGCAATGAAGGCATCTGTGGTGGTGGTGGTGTTGGTGGCGGCAACAGCAGGGGTTGTGGCAGTAACAGTTGTAGCTGCAGCACAGTAGTAGTAGTAGTAATATAGTAGCAGCAGTATTAGTTGTAGTAGTAGTAGTAAAAGAAGAGGTAGTAGCAGCAGCAACAGTAGTAGGTAGTAAGAACAGCATAGGCAGCAGCAGCAGTAGTAGTAGTAAAAGCAGAGGTAGTAGCAGCAGCAAGATAGTGGTAGTAGTAACAGTAGCATAAATATAGCAATGGAAGAAACACTGAAATTGAGTCAGGCATCTCGACTTGATTACATTTTTATCTCTCTTTCTTTTTCACACACAAACACGCGCGCGCAAACACACGCACACTACTTATTACTCTCTGTTATCTCGTGTTCGCTATCTGCTTCTCTCTCCGACTAACTTATTTTCTCTGTTTCTCTTTGTGTTAGCGCAGTCAACAGGAGACTCGATTTCAAATCCAGCTGCGACTCGCTGCAGCCCTCGGCCAGTGTTCAAAGCCGGGCGGTTCCAGGGGTTCATCCAACCTCTATGTAAAAGGTACCAGAATTAAGGCTCTGGGGTAAATGGAGGAACGTCGGTGTAGTTACGGAGTTGCGTGCGGACGGCGACACAGGCAGAGTTTCTTATCAGGTGTCCGCACTGGTGGCAGAGCTCTTATGGTTTATAATCGTGTGCAATGACACTGGTTTACATCTCCTGACTTTACCTTTCGATCACTCTTTGTCTCGATCTTTCTATGTTGTTCTCTCTCTCTCTCTCTCTCTCTCTCTCTCTCTCTCTCTCTCTCTCTCTCTCTCTCTAGAATATGCGTGTGTGGATGGGGTGGGGGGGGGGGCAAAAAGGAAGTAAGAAGCTTACTCACCTGTCGGACCAGACAAAACGGTGTGTCCAAACTCTGTAACTGGTTCACCAGACGTTGACCATAAAGCCACACAGCCTTGCCGCTTCAAGGTCACTGCCAAGCAGCCTTCGGGCGTCAAACAGGTGGCACAAGGTTCCGAGCCCGCCTCAAACGAGAAGGTAATCTTCGGGTACCCATCCGCTCCAAACAACACCATGATATTGCCTAAAATATCAGTGACAATCACATCCCCGTTCTCCAGTGGCTGGACCTGGGTGGCGTCTTTGATCACCTGAATTTCGCCATCAGCTTGCGGGGTAAACGATGTTGTCAACTGGTGGTGCATGACCAGATGAGACTTTCCTCGCCGCAAACTTGGAATCCGGGTGAAATTCACGTGCCATGAATCATTCAGTTCAGAATGATGTCTAACGAGCGAGTAGTTTGGCTCTGGGGTGTGAACTTTGACCTGGCCCTGGCTTGGGAAAACTTTAGTATTACTTTTATCATCCGTGCCCATAGAGCGATCAAGTCTATTATGTACATCTTCACTGCTTTTAAACTCACCAACTTCATTGGTTGCGCCTTCTCTTAGGTACTTATGAATTGCCCTCATCTTCTCTTTTATCTGTAACTTCGTGAGTCTTTCCGCTCTAGGCTCTGGTACGTCGAGAATAGATGTATACGACTGAGATTTAGAAATAGTTGCAATCTGACATTTTGTTGAATCATGGCTGCTTAAATCGTCTGTAGATTGGCATGTGAGATTATTCAGACTTTTGGAAACTTTACGTTTAAAAAATGCGCCCACTTTATGCAGATACCATCCAGGTTTATGGGATAAGAATGGCGTAGTCGCGATTCTAGTGATGTCTTTTTCATCAGGACTCAGTGAAGTTGGTTCTGCTGTTTCTTCAACTTGCCAACTATTATCGTGATTAAGAATGGGCTCATTGGATGGGCTTTTGGCCCGCATTAATCTCACATGAATCTGAGGTCTCATTGAAAGAGGGGCACTTTGCTTAGATACATTGTCATTAAACTGTGAGTTGCTAGAAGCAGCATAAGGACAAACGAAGCCACCAGAACTTGTGTCCATACAGTTTATCACATTCTCTTTATCTTCAGTCTCTTCCAACTCCGGAAACACAGAAGCTGCTTGGGTTTTCCGGCTCTCGATCGGGCTAGAATAACCTCCATTGACAAATGCAAAAGAATGGAGTGTAGAGTCCATTGATGGTTCATAGTTATGCTGCAGAACTTCGGTCTCTGAGGTTGCACTTGTAGAGAGCAAGGCGGTGGAGTAATTATGTTCCTGTGTGTAAGTGTTTGTATATGAAAGTGCTGCGTCGCTGGATCCAGAGTGTAAGTTATGGTAGGAAGTTAGCGTCACTGCAGCAGACATGTTAACTGTCTAGGTACTCCTTTGATAGTGCAGAACTGGAGTCCAATCGTTGTTTCTGTAGAAAGAGATGTAGTTATTTAGCGTGACTGACTGACTTTCTACCCCACCAGGACATCACACAAGCGATAAACACCCGATGACACAAAGTGCCACCATGTGGGTGAGGATCACCGTGGAGAGGTCCCAGAAACCGCGTTCAGACAATTGGCCATATTTTAAGGCCTGTCTATATTGCGGCCCCTGGCAAAAGCCAGGGTAGGGCTACAAATAACAAAACATTTCATCCTTAAAAGGACGAACTAGATTAACAATTTTATTTAGCCTGCATATTTGAAAAAAAAAAAAAATTTAAGTTTGTAATCTAACTAACAAAACATGCATTTAAAAACAAATGCCTGAGGAAAGTGTTGAATATAACATGGGATGAATTCAAGAGAGGTGAAGAAATAAGAGAAATGTTGAGCAACCACTGGTAACATCGGCTATTCAACAAACAAGGTGGCGCTATATTGGACACATCCAGAGAAGAAACGAGCAGAGAATCACCAAAGAGGCACTAAAAGGGGAAATAAGTAAGCGAAAATGCCCGAAAGAAACCCTAAAATGAAAGTTGATGAGAGAGGTGAAAGATGTAGGACTGGATTCCATCAATGATATTGAACTGTGTTCACAGAACAGAGCGGAATGGAGGAATAGACTGCCGCCCTATGTAAGTTATACTGTCACAACATGACAATGATGGCGATTATGATGACCCAAAAAACGAGCTGGTCGACAGATCGAGTGTAGAGTTTGCAATTATCAACACCAGTTTCAGAAATCAAGACCAGTAAAGAAATCTTGTCACGCCATTATCGTATCAGGTATATTATGCTAGACTCACAGAGCATGCTGAGAAAGGTAGAGACAGGCATCCTCCGAGCAGAGTGGCAAGCATCGCTTGAGAGATCCTGGGTAGTTAGCGCCCTTTAAATATTTTTCTCCAGGTCATACCGATGTGTTTGGAAACGAGCAGGCAGATAGACTGGCCAGTTCTGGACTATTTGGGGGTGAATTGAAGTATCACAAGCTAAATGTTGTGAGGGTCCTTTAGGAGCGATTGACCGGTGCGGAGGTACAAATAGATCGAGCGGGCTGAGGAGAATGGCGCTGCAAGGAGATAGCAGGGATTCTGGCCGACGCTTTCCACTTAAGGTAAAGGCGGATTGGATATACAATCAGTAACTGGTACCAGCGAAATTGGAAATCCTTGTTTACAGCTGAAGATGGAGACGGGGCGCTTATGGGAGCGTCCTGAATGCTGTGATGTCGATTCTTAATTCAATATTCATATTTTATAGATTGCCCGGACTTGAGTGGAGTGGATCAACATCCTACTGCCTGATATTTGCCTCAAATGAACTTTTCTGTTATCAGTTTTAGGCTGGGTCGACCCGAAAGCCTGGTCATTGTCTTCTTCTTCGCTGTAACTCTGGCGGAAAAGTTCTGAGACAGTGAGAGAGTGAGTGAGAGAGAGAGAGAGAGAGAGAGAGAGAGAGAGAGAGAGAGAGAGAGAGAGAGAGAGAGAGAGAGAGAGAGAGAGATGTTCTTTACATTTGTCGCTACTATTTTTATTGTCATAGAATAGACACTTACCCAGTTAGTATCTGTAACTTCGTGAGTCTTTCTGCTCTAGGCTCTGGTACGTCGAGAAAAGATGTATACGACTGAGATTTAGAAATAGTTGCAATCTGACATTTTGTTGAATCATGGCCGCTTAAATCGTCAGTTACCCATGTAGTATTGTCATAGAATAGACAGTTACCCAGTTAGTGAAAAATTATGTGGAAGTGGCGGAGATGTGGTTTGAATGATGAGAACACCCCAGACAGATGAAAATGGTAATAAAGATGTCTTTAAGAAAAAAAAAGACAGACTCCCGAAGAGAAGTGAAGACTATCTATATTCGGCTCTGCTTTTAACTACGGCCGGTAGATAACAGTAGACGGCCGGTTAGTCGGAGTTTTGTCCCCTGGCTGCAGTGCAATTACGGACTGGAGAAGGCACGAATCAGAAAACACATCTACATTCGGCTCTCCTTTCAACTACGGCCGATAGACAACAGTAGACGGCGGGTTAGTCGGAGTTCTGTCCTCTGGCTGCAGTGCAATTACGGACTGGAGAAGGCACGAATCAGAAAACACAGTGATGTAGACATTCCTGGCAGTTCCCTCGCTGTGACTCAATTAGCGACCGCGTTCAATTACCGCTTCTTGCGACGCATTACGGAGTGGAATAGAGGGAACGATACAAGTGACAGAATTACTGTGTGTTGGCGATAGACAGCGTGCAGTGCCCTACTGTCATCATATGGGTAGGGTTAGGGGTAGGATAGGGGTAGGGTTTGGGTTAGGTTTAGGGTTTGGGTTGCTACTGTGAGTTTGTGCGAAGACGAGATGCGGCGACACTAACCATAACCCTAACCCACACCCTAACCCACACCCTACCCCTAACCCTAACCCAAACCGTAACCGTATGATTATAGCAGGGCAGTGCACGCTGTCTATCGCCCAACACACAGTAATTATGTCATTTGTTTCGTTCCCTCCTTTCCACTCCGTAATTGCACTGCATCAAGGGGACAGAACTCCGACTAACCAGCCGTCTACTGTTGTCTACCGGCCGTAGTTGAAAGGAGAGCCCTATATAAGTCACGAGAGGGGGGAAAACTGGCGTGCATTCTGGCGGTAGAAAATTCTGAAGGAAAAAGAGGCAGAGGGAGACCGAGAGAGAAGATGGCTGGACAGTTTGACATCATGGAATTGAAGATCGTTTGAGCCATAACTGACTGAAATTACGTGAGGCAAACAGTATATCCACACATTATATCTGTCAACTTACCTGTCATTATCCTCGGCAGCAGGATCCCATAAACAGTTAGATTATATGATAAACACAGCACCGACGCCAGATAAACACAGTCATTTGCTCCTATAAATCTAATGTGTTTTAACTGCCACCCAGTGGCGAAGCGTGATCAGTTCGCAGGAGTAAGTGTTAGCAGCCAACGATTAGACAAGAGAGTAAATCCCGTGTAATGTTCCTCCTTGTTGCTTAGCTGTTTAAAATATGCGGACGTAGCTAGCGTTGTTGTACTACTATAAGTGGTAGCTTCCACACGTTACAATTTCTAAATGAATGCTAAAAGCATGCGGCGAGCGTCATTTCCGCAATTTTCAAGAAATAAACCCAGTTGCGTCTTGGTAATGGACAGTTTAAAAAAACAAAAACAATAATAAATAGTGAAATAAAGTTTATTTGGCAAAGGTAAGTTTCATTGACCATTAAAGGCCCTTCGTCCACACCTCGCCACTGTTGCTATCTACCTCTATAGGTTTCTGCGTGCATGTACATCTTAGGACAGTTTGTCATGTCTACGTTTTTACTCACGTGGCTCTGTCTATGAAGCCCAATCTGCGTAAACACACATTATAACCCCCACGAAGCAAGCCGATGGCCGAACAATGAGTTCTAATGTTGAATCAACGGTGTCTTTTTTAAAAACACTATTAGAAAATAAACACAATTTTAATAAAAAAATTAAGTTGTTTGTATGAAAATAACACCAGGAGAAAAAAAATGACAATAGATTTTATGCAAGAGAAAAATTCGGTTACGTTACGATCTGGATTTTACTGTATCGGAAAGTGCGCCAAGTTATGTGGTTTTTACGCTACATAAAAAATAGGACACTGCTCCTAATGAGTCATAAATAACAATGAGATCGACATGTTTATAGACTAACGTTACTATGCAAGAGTTTTTAAAAATAA